AGTTCTATCATCGCTGAAACAATTTCTTAAATACTTTCAAGGCATCGGTAACTTGAAAATTGAACCAATTAAATCAGTTACAATAATTACGAAAATTATCGGAAACTCTCACCAATTTAAAATAATCAAGAAATGAACAATTATTTATTATTATTATTATCTTGATATGGACCAATAATTTGTAAAGGACTAATTTGTGAATATTTGGAAATAAAATAAACTAAAATTATGATTATCATTTCTGTATTACAGTATATCAAGTGACATAATTTACAAATACAATTATTTTTTTTCTTAAATTTATGTTTTCGATAATAAAAAATGGTAACTAAAATTTCCACAGAATTATTGATTATGATTTTAAATGAAGTTTACTCAATTCAAGATTTGTATTCACCACTATTAGTTAATCGAATCTGGTGTAAAGTTAAAATATCATACTTTGGGAACTACCTTTTGGTCAAGGATGTCATTCAAATAAAATGAATAAGATAATAAAGAAAGCATTATGTGTTTAGAACTTTACTTTTTCAAATGGATTTGGTTTATCATCATCACCACCTCAAGCCACTTTCGATTATCCATCATTCACTCATAAACTTAGGATTTGATAATTTATTTCCATGTTTTCACAACAAATTATTGGTTCAAATCAAGATAGCAACAATAATAATAGTAATGAAATCAACATCGCCAGATCGAGAGTATATTTTGGTGAGATATGTGTATTAATAATAAATAGTTGTTCATTTCTGGATTATTTTATATTAGAGGAAGTTCCCGAAAATGTTTTCTAAAAATTTTAAAATTTAATCGGTGCAATTCTTGAGTTACCTGGTGCCCCGAACGCATTGTAGAAATTACAATGAGAAGTTGTGAATCGATTATTCCATCATATGAATCATTAGCATGAATTTGTAATAATATTTTAAATATGAATCTATCATTCAAATCATATTTTCAAATCGAATTATTAGTAAAACTTATTAGCCTCAAAAGCGTTTAGAATATCTATCAATTGTTGATTTTAGTTTTCTAGATCCTCTTAATAAATATAATTCAATATTTTGGGCTATCATTAATCAAAAAGAAACATTAAAGAGTCTTCGTTTAGTTCTCTTTAATTTTATTAATTTTGAGAGGAAATAATCATCAATTGGGAATTTATTTCACTTCAAGAACTTATAATTGGAAATTGCATTGGATTAACATAAATCGGATTGTTTATTTTTGCATCATCATTTAATCAATTAAGTAGTTTTAATTGCTTTCATCATAGTCCTTTTTGTATGCATCCTCGAGAATTTATCAAAAAAATTCCCGAAACGGCCAATGCAAATTAAGAAATATTTGTCTAGATCTAAATGCCACAATTACAGTTGAAATATTTTCAATAATTTTAAATTATTATACATAGTTTACTAAATTAACTCTACATAATTTAAGTCTTGAACAAGTAATTGCAATATTTAATAATAATTTTAATGAATTAAGAAGATTTTCATTTTATTGTGGAGGAGAGAATTTGATGCTGATGAATTATTACGTCAAATGCCGTAAATGACCAAAATCACTTGAAACTATTGAACTTGGAATAGAGGTAGAGACAATTAGTGCTAATAGTTTAAGAAGACTTTTTGAAGGGTGGTGTTGTAAAGGAGGAGGGAGAAACAAAAAGATTATTGTAAATCGTATACGTACAAAATAATATCAACTATTTACATTAAGTGATGAACATTTTAAAGTTATTGAAGAAAATGGAGTTCTATTTAATATAAAAAAATAATATTCCAAATAATATTTCAATTAATATTTTTATAAAACACTGAATCAGAAAATATATTTAGTTATAGTATTCTCTTGATTAGTTATTTTATCGAATTGTTTATTATTTGTTAAGTTGAATGTAAGAATATTGAATAAATACTATGTACAAAAATCAACGTTTATGAAATTTATGCAATTTTTATAAAATAATTTTTTCCTTTAACATGATGATTAAGGCCAATAAACTGATATAGCTTTATATGATTTTATTTATTAAAATCAACATTAATTAATCATACTTTTTTAACACTAAAGTTAATTAAAAATAGTAAATTATATTTAAAATTTGAGAAATTACAACTCTAAATAAAATCATGATTAAAAACTAAACTAAATTTTAAAAGAATAAAAAAATTGAAAAGTATATGCAATTAAAGAATCGTTCATCATTCGGTCGATTTGTAAACCAGCTTAGAAAAATCAAGATTCAAGTAATTTCATACTTTCTGAACAATTTTGATAGTCACTTAAATGTAGCCTACTTTGATAAATGCATTGAAATTATGCCACCAAGTTCTAGAAGTGTAAAAAAATTTGTGCATATTTGTAATTAAAAATGAATCTTTCAATGCATATAAAAGTTAGCTTAGCAAATCAAGATTCAAGTAATTTCATATCTTCTGAACAATTCAGATTAGTCATGATAGCAATCAGAGTCACTATTTGAAAGGGATTTAATCATTTGTAAAAAATTAAGCAATAATTCAAACCAATATCATGTGATTCATTATAATAAAAATTATTGTTTCAGTAGCACACAACTTCATAATGTTCTGCATAAATTCATCAAACGATTCATTTTTTCTGATGAATATCCTCAAGTCATTTTTTCGAAAGATTTTCTTTCAGAAGGGTGTATTTATAAAATCAAAGTATTAGTTTCTCAATTTCTCAACGATACTCTTTAAAATAGAGTAAGTGATCAGAATATAGATTTCATTGTTTTAATATCAAAAAATATCAAACAAACAGAGCAGATAGAAACAACTGAAACCCCAAGATCAGATAACATCTGTCAAGGATTGTCCAACAATATTTTGGTCATATGCTGCTGATTCTTCAGATACAGATAACACCTGTCAGAAGACCCTTCCGATCTGATAAATTATCTTTTCTTCTATAGTACAGTTTAAACTTATAAATTATAAAACAAATAGTTATTGCTATATTTAACCATGTAATAACATATTCCTTGGCATGTTTCATAATTTCAGACTAGAGAAAAAAATCAATTAAAATAATAAAATATCAATCAATGAAAATTTCTCTTCTATACCTACAAAGGCAATTCTATTAATCATTTACGACCTAACATAACTAGAGATGTCATCTTTGTTCCAAATAATTTATGCAATTTATCAGCAGCGCTAAGCATCATCAGTATATTAGATAAATATTCTCGACCGTGTAATTTCCAAGAAAATGTAATTTTTTCTTTTAATTTCAAATTATTATTAATAAATAAATACATTATCTAAAATGAGAATAATAAATTAAACAGCAGTTAGTAACCAAATTTTTCCAAAATGAAAATCTTCTTAATTATTAAAACATTATTAAATATTGCTATTACTTGTTCAGGACTTAAATTTAATAAAGTTAATTTGGTAATCTTTATTCATTAATTTAAAATTACTGAAATATATCAAGTGGAACTGCGGACCATGATTCTAAATAAATATTTTTTAAATTTGTATTGGCTGTTTATAATAAACTCTTGAAAATAATATCCATATTTACCTATAATCTCAAAACTACTTAATTAGTAAAGATGAAGCAATGAATAAACTATCTGATTCATGCAATCAAGAACAATTTTCCATATAAAGTCTTGAAGTGAAATAAATTGTCCAACTGATGATGATTTCCCTTTGAAATAATGAATAACTCACATCCATATTTAAAATATTATCACAAATTAATGTTAATGCAATTATTCGTATAATGGACAAATCTTTACATTATATCCCATTGTTGAAGTAAAACTTTGTAATTAATTAAATACTTTTGGAGCGCCAGAAAACTTGAGAATTGAACCAATTAAATCCCTATAATTTAGAAAAATTTTCTCAAAATTTTCGGGAACCTTTGCCAATGTAAAATAATCCAGAAATGAACAACGATTTATTATTAATTCAAATATTTCACAAAATAATATTCTCGATTTGGTGACGGTGATTTCGTTATTATTATTATTGTTGTTGTTGACATTAAATTTTCTTATTCGTGGGAAAAATAAGAATTATCAAAATAGCTAATTAACTCAACGAAAAATAGAAAAAGGAATTCAAGTGTTTCAAAATTATCAAATGTATCAAAAAACCAAGACTTTACTTCATTATCTCTAACTTTGGATACAGAAGATTAAGTCCAAAATGAGAATCAGCAAATAATAGTTAAAGATACAAAACCGTGAAAACAAACGCAGAAATTTTTTTTTATTATTTATTTTTTTTGTTTTTTTTTTAATAAACAAAAAATTTTTTATCTCAAAAAAAAATAATTATTTTGGATAATATTCATCTTTTAATTAAAAATCCTAGATCATGGTTTCGAAAAATCGAACGTTATTATTTTATAATATATATTTAAAAATTATTTTTTTTAAAAAAAAATATTTACATATAATATATATTTCATTGTATCTTATTTTAATTAATAAATATTTACCTAACTATTTTTGTTATATGATTTCGTATTTTTGCTTATCATTTTGGTAATAATTACATCAGTTTAGCTACACATTGAATAATTATTATGTAAATGTGGTACGATATTTTACTTTTTTGACAAAAAAAAAAATCGGGACTAAAATTTCTACAGAAATTTTAATTATAATTTTAAATAATCTTCACATTCTTCTCTAAAATTTAGCTTAATTATTAAAGTAGAAATAATAATAACAAATGTATTAATTATATCAAGTAAAATAATATAATATAAATAAAAAATAAAATAAAAAATAAAATAAAAAGGAATGTTGCACAAAAATCATAACAAGGAACCTCACATGTTAATTAATAAATAAATATCGATTTTCACATGCCCAATGTTTTAGCAATAAAATTATATTTTAGCAACAAAAATTAGTTACACACGGAATTATAAATATTATATAAATGTAATACGATTATTTTTTTTTGAATTTTCTCTTATTTCTTATACAAAAAAAAATGGCAACTAATATTTGTACGGAATTATTGATTATGATTTTAAATAATCTTCATTCAACTCAAGATTTGTATTCATTATTATTAGTTAATCGAATCTGGTGTAAAGTTACTATACCTATACTTTGGGAATTACCTTTGGGTCAAGATTGTTGTACGGATGATAAAAAGTTGAAGAAGAAAGCATTATGTATTCGAACTTATATATCTTGTATGGATATTCAAACGAGAACTTTACTTATTCAAAATGGATTTGATTTATCATCATCACCACCTCAAGCCACTTTTGATTATCCATCTTTCACTCATAAATTTATAATTAATAATTTAGTTTATTTTATTTCCATATATTTACAACAAAATATTGGTTCATATCAAAATAATTGCATCATCACCACATCAAGATTGTTATTTCATGAAATGTGTAAATTAATAATAAATCGATGTAATTTTTTGGATTCTTTTAAAATGACGGGAGCCAAATATTTTTCTCCAAATTTTATAAATTATGGTGATTTAATTGCTTCAATTCTCAAGTTTCCCGGTGCCACGAAAGTATTTAAGAAATTAGAAAGTTTTACTTTAATGATAAGAGATGATGAACTGATTCGTCCATTGTATGAATCATTGGCATTAATTTGCGATAGTATTTTAAATATGAATTTGGAATTAAACTCATATTACCAAGTGCAATTATTAGCAAATCTTATTAGAGTTCAAAAACGGTTAGAGAATTTATCAATTGTTGCCAATTATTATTTAGATTATCCAGAGAATAATTCAATTTTTTCGGCTATCATTAGTCAAAATGAAACATTAAAGAAACTTAGCTTAAAACAAGTAAGTTTTTATTATTTCAAAGGAAATTCACCAATTGAACAATTTATTTCACTTCAAGAACTTTATATAGAAGACTGTTTCGGTTTGCATAAATCAGATAGTTTATTCTTTGCTTCATTTCCTCAATTAAGTAGCTTTCATTTTAGACATAAATATAATAAGTATCCTCAAGAATTTATTATAAAAATTTTCGAAATAGCCAACACAAAATTAAGAAAAATTTATTTAAATTCATATACCACAGATACATTTTTGGCAATTTTATATTATTGCACAAATATTATCAAATTAAGTTTGCATATTTCATGTCTTGAACATGTGATAGCAATATTTAATAATAATTTTAATGAATTAAGAAGATTTTCGTTTGATTGTGAGGAAAGAATCAATGCTGATGAATTATTTTGTCAGATGGCTGAGAATGTACCAAAATCACTTGAAACTATTGAAATTAGAATAGGAATATTTAGTGCTAATAGTTTAAGAAAATTTTTTGAAGGGTGGTGTTGTAAAGGAGGAGGAGAAAATAAAAAGATTATTTTAAGACGTACAGAACAAGCACGACTATTTGCATTAAGTGATGAACATTTTAAAATTATTGAAGAATATGGGGTTCAATTTGACATAGAAGAGTATATAGAATAATAATATTCCAAATAAAATTTTATATTCAATACAATACCAAGTAAGAAAATATATTTAGTAGTGCATAGGAATATTGAAAATATTAAAAAAAATTCTATGCACTAAAATATAAATTTAGGCAATTAGATAATAATTTTAAAAATTTATTAATATTGGTTTAAATGGTTTTATTATTATATAGAATAAGTAATATTTATTGTTTATTAAAATATTATATTGATTTTATCGTTTTAATTAAGATTAATGTTAATAAGTTAATTAATTATTTTCTCTGAACTGATTATCTATTTATTTATTTACACATATTATAAATATATAACTAAAAGGAAAAATAAGATATAAAACACTATCTTGATATATCTTTTAGGTTATATTTACATTTTTTGTAGAGAAATGTGCAATGTAAACAGTTACCTTTATAAAAAAACAACTACATTAGTAATGGTGTTACTTTGTTGTTCGGTCATTTTTTTTGTTGTTTATATATAATGTACAATGTCATAAATTAAATATCTAATTAATTCATTATTAACAATTGAGAGTTAGAAAAGAGCAAAGAATTCGTTTCTCTTGAAATAATGCTTATTTAAATATTAATTTTTTAATATAAAATAAATAGATAAAAAAAATAATCCAATAATCTCTTTTTTTCTTTTTCTTTCATATAAAAAAAATTTATCTCACGAAAAATAGATCTTGATTACGAATTTTCATTTTTAATTTATAATTTAATAAAAAATAAATGATTAAGTAATTGAATAAATTTATTCTTTTTTTTTTATGTTATGTAATCTCAAATGATTTAGTTATCTTGTGTGGAAGTTTAAAAAATTTTTTGTATCGGATTTATTTATTTGATTTGATTTGTTATATTGATCAATGTAATGAAATCTAATTTTGTTGTCAAGACTGTTGAAATTGTTTTTTGCATTTTTTACATTAAGCTTTCTAATTACTAGGGAGATCATTTGATAAAGGAGATATTTTTAATATTCAAAGGAAGATTTTTGTGATGGAAACTGATGTTGATGAAACAAAAATAAAAATAATTAAAGTGATTATTATTAACCAAATATTGAGGTAGCAATTTATTTATTATGCTATTATCTAAAATATATATATATATATATTAAAAAATATTTGTAATTCACAAGAATGAATGGGCGTGTATCACTCATTGTTTAAACTTATTTCTTGTGTAAGAAGACATTTCAATTCATTTTTATTTTTTTTTTAAAAAATAAATTTAAATAAATATTATTACTAAGCGGAAAAACGAATGTAATTTTGAAATGGATTTTTGCAAATTAGTGAAATGGATTGACTATTAATAAAAAAAACTAAGATACTTTATGCCAACTTCACAAGAGATACCAAAATCCGTTTTAGTCTGCACAGAACAATGTGAAAAATTAAGAAAATTAAGCCAATCAGTTTCAATAAATTTAGGATGATCAAATGATAATTCAATGTATTACTAACACACTTTCTCTTGTGCGCAATATTCTGAAACATAGCAAGACAGATAGACAATCATTTGATCTAAACCTGCTTACTAACCCTTACAAACAATGCAATTATGTGTAATGTCTGAAGGTACAATAAGCAATTAGAGTAAAAGTATCTTCACTAGATATTTCATATACTGCTAAAACTTAAAAGACTTTTGAAGTAACTTGTTGAGAAATATCGAAAAGTTTATTAAAATATTTATTAAAATTTATTAAAAGAATAGATCAATAAGCATACTTGCTGTGTTGGTATATCTTATTCCTATTGCTATTCTGATACACAAAATTATTTATTACAAAAATTATTTATTTTTATTAAAGACTATTCAAAACTGTTTTTATTACTAAGATTATTTGAGAAATTATTTATTATATAAAAAAAAAAGTAATTAAGAAATATTTATATTACTATAAAATTATTGTTTATTATTAAAATTACTACAAAATTCGTTATAAAGGTAAAAAAAAAAGTTATATAGTTTTAAAAGTTTCGCAAGAGAGGAATTTCTTTTTTTTTTCACAACTGCAGCTGTTTTATATTTTCTCCTCTTGTTTACCTTCATCCGTAGTTATCCATCAACACGTTCTTGTACTGGGATGAATAATCCATTATCTGGGATGATGGATGACACACAAGGATAATTTATTCAAATAGTGAAACATCTCATCTCATATCATCTTCCGTAATTTCAGTTATATTTGTGCCACAATACTATTACACACATTACACATAATTATTTTTTATCAATTCTCAAAATTTCTTTCTTTTAAACAAAAAAAAACAACAACTAAACTTTCCACTGATTTATTGATTATAATTTTAAATAATGCTCGATTAGCTCAAGATTTATATTCGTCATTACTAGTTGATCAAATCTGGTGTAAAGTTACTGTACCTATGCTTTGGGAATTACCTTTGAGTCAAGAATGCACATATGATAAAAAGTTGAAGAAGAAAGCATTATTTATTCGAACTTATATATCATGAATGGATATTCAAGTCAGAACTTTACTTACTCAAAATGGATTTAATTTATCATTATCACTGCCTCCAGCAACTTTTGATTATCCATCATTCACTCATAAATTTACAATTACTAATTTAGTTTATTTTATTTACATTTATACTCAATAAATTATTCAAGAAATTATCTATATTGTTGATGAGAGAATCAAAATGAGAATATTATTTTGTGAAATATATAAATTAATAATAAATTGTTATTCATTTCTGGATTATTTAAGATTGCAGAAGTTCCTGAAAATTTTGAGAAATCTTTTAGTAATTATAGTAGTTCTATTTGTTCAATTCTCAAGCTTTTTGGTGTTCCAAAAGTTTTTAAGAAATTAGAAGTTTTACTTTGACAATACAATATAATAAATTGATTTATCCATTGTATAAATCATTGGTATCAATTTGTGATAGTATTTTAAATATGAATTTGGAATTAAACTCATATTACCAAGTGCAATTATTAGCAAATCTTATTAGGGTTCAAAAATGGTAAGAATATCTATCAATTGTTAACAATTATTGTCTAGATTTTCCAGAGAATAATTCAATTTTTTTTGGCTATATTTAGACAAAAAGAAACATTGAAGAAATTACATTTAGTAAACTTTTGGAGTTTCGAGAAAAATTTCCAATTGAATAATTTATTTCACTTCAAGAACTTTATATAAAAAAGTGTTTTGGATTGCTTGGATTGGATTGTTTAACTTTTGCTTCATCATTTACTCAATTAAGTAGATTTTATTATTTTTATTTGAAATATGCAGGTAGTTGTCCTCAAGAATTTATTGTAAAAATTCTCGAAACAGCCAATACAAATTTAAAAGATATTCATCTAGATTTGTATTCCAAAATTAAAATAATATAATTTCAGCAATTTTAAATTATTGTACAACATTACCAAATTATTTTTAAAATATTTAAGTCTTGAACAATTAATAATAATATTTAATAATGATTTTAATAAACTAAGAAAATTTTCATTTGATTGTGGAAGAAAAGAAATTGATGCTATTAAATTATTATGCAAAATGGCTAAAAATATACTGGAATCACTTGAAACTGTCAAAATTGGAATGGAGAAATTTACTGCTGATAGTTTAAGAAAATTTTTAAAGGGGAACCTGTAATGGAGGAAGAGGAAATAAAAAGATTACTTTAAAATGTCGAGAATATTCACAATGATTTATATTAAGTGATTAATATTTTAAAATTATTGAAGAATATGGAGTTCAATTTGATATGAAAGAGTATATAGAAGAATAGTATTCCAGATTATATTTTATGTACAATACCAAATCAGAAAATGGATTTAGTAATATTGAGTTAATGAATATTAAATTATTATAATATTATTTGTAAAAAATTAATGATGTATGAAATGTGAGTAAGTGTAATTTGCTGGCCAAAAGCCCCAGGTACCTTACATCCCACCTTCCAAAAACTTGAGTTATACCTGGAAGGATATTTTATATAAAGAAGGGTATTTTACTTAGCATGGGTTTTTGTTCAGAGGGTACAGATCATAGTTTCTTTATATGATATTTGTATGTTGTTGACCATGATCCAACTTTCAAGGGATACAATTAACTAATAGCTAAAGGTGTGGTAGCTAAACTAAAATATATTACTATTAACTAATTTATACTACAAAAAGTATAATGGTTGAAGGATTTAGATATTGTGGATTTGTTCAAAAGAGGCAAGACTATGAGATTTTTATAAGAGTTTAACTAAACTATGCAAAATAACAAGATATAAACTAACTAAACTGATAATTCCTAACACTAAGTAGAAAATTATAGCACAAAAATGGTATAACAAGATCACAAAGCAAGGTATAATTCAACAAGGGTAATACAAAATTTCACTTAGAGAAAAAAAAAAAAAAAAAAAAAAAAACTCTTTCCGACGATCATTTTGCCAGAATTTTCAAGGAAGAGAAAAT